GATAGAGACTGGTGAAGATTTTCAGTATGATTCAATAAATATATTACTTAGTTCATTCGAATTTAGAGTAAATATTATTCCTCTCTAATCAACTATTACACTTGAAAGGAAATATAGGCGTAACATATGCTTATTTTTTCTCTTTTTCCAATAAATCATTAACACTAGGTTTACGGGCATTTATTGTACACTTCATTCTATTATTCCTAAAAGAATTGATGCTCGTTTATTTAGATTGTGGAAACTGGAGATTCGATAGTAGGTAATTGTGGTACATGTCAGTGTGAATATTTCTAAAATCCAATATGCGTCAATTTGACTCGTTCCGTGCACCTAGTGTTAATGACAAAGTAGCCGTATCGATCAGAGTTGAGAAAGAAATCACAGGTCAAGGGGTTAATCGCGTACGGTCGAGTTTAGATTGTAATGCAGTTCAATTTAATAGTATTATATATACAAAGTGTACAACGGGAACTGATTGTGAATTCTTCGTTAATGCCCAAGTATTTTTACTTCCCATTATCAATCGGAAAACAGCCGGATTCACCTCGGTCCCCGTATTGTCCGTTGGCCAAACAATCGCGGTAAAAGCTGAGCTTCGACAACGGACGTTCAGTCGCCGGCGTTATAATTTCAATTTTCGCGAACATGAAACAGCTTTTGTGACGAAATTGTTGCAGCCGGAGGCCTACAGCTGAATTCTGGGTCGGCGTTTATTGTCGGACGAGAATTTCGTTAATTGATTTCGATTGCGTAACACGGCGAAACGCGTCGGATTATCCGAGCACAATCGATCGTTGCGCGACGCCTCGATCCACCCCCGCCGATCGCGCGGCAGGTTCGAAGGCTTTCGGCTTTTGTGCCCCGTCCGCCGGAATTCGCTGCTCCAATTTCCTTTATCCGTTCCGCGGCTCCCCGTCGCCGAGACGGAGACGCATCTGCGGCGGGCTAACGCGTTGACGGATAGACAGACCTTCGGGACTCGTTTTTTAAGGGAACGACCACCGCCCCGCCCCCGTTTCATTAAGCTAATTGAGTCATGTGAACTGTGGACGAAGTTACTTCGTTTTAATCGATCACGGCGGAGAATATTCTTTTCTACCCTTCCCCGCTATTCTTCTTTCGATTCACCTTGCCAGCTAATGAATTTTCGACCTTCTCATCGTGGAATTCCTTTTCATGGGGAATTACTCTTCATTGGTTCTTCTTCTTCAGGCGTCTTTCTGCCTAACGAGTCGCGAAGCTGCTTGGAATTAAGGCGAGAGGTATTCTACCCTCCGAAGTTTTGTGTTTTTGAGAAACAAAGGTTGATGGGAATACTGACAATGAAATAGAGTTACTATTAACTTTCAATATTCTAAAGGAAATATCAATAATACTCAATCATTTTCAAAACGTCAACATTACTTTTCTACGAATCTATGAATTAAGTTAGTAGGAATTACTTGTTGATAATTATTGAATAATCTATTCCCATTCACTGTCCCTTCAATTGTTTCCCATATGCGCGACAGTTTTCCTTCGCGATAAAATAGGTACTAATGAAAATATCCAATCATTTCCCAATCACCATTATTTTCTCTTCTCCTCCGAAACTCTAATCGATACAGCAGAGAGAATACCCGCCGATGATCACTGAATAATTCGCGGGTGAAAGGTTCACTGTACGCGAAGATTAACTTTTCAATTCCAATCAGGCGGAAGGTTGAAGGGTAAATTGGGGTCCGTAACGGGGAAGCAATATTCCGTTGAATCCCGCGTTCCCTCCGCTTTGCCGCGGCAATTTGATCGCGAGAGCGGGCCGCCCGACCGGCATTGACACAATTCGCCGAACTTGAAAACGCCGGGCGTGAAACGAGGCCGCTAATTTCGTAGACGGTAACCGCGGCCGGATGTAACGACCGATTCGCCGGTAGCTCGTAAACGTGTCATGGGGTAGATCGTTGGATGCAACACGGGGGCTTCACGTGGCCGCACGCGGCGAGAGAGTTCAACAACAGCTGCGGACCATCCAGGAACGTGTAAGACTTACCAGCCTGCCTGGAATCGTTCAAACTCGCAATCATCGGGAAAGGCTTTCGTCGCTAGGAACTTCCTGCCGCAGTGTGGCCCGGTTATTTTCTTTTATATCGCGTTACCGATGGCGCGATGCACCATGCCAGTCCGAGTGTTCACAACTTCCTGTTAAGCTAATTTCATTCATTGGTAATCGTCTGCACTCTAAAAGTTTTTCATTGGAAATACTCAACATTTTCTAATGAGGTACTGACATCTTTTCGAACTGTCTTGACGAGAAATCGCATCTAAATTGAGGAACGAGACACGTATCGATGCATTATACACTTTATCATTTTACTGTGTCAATCAGTCGGTGACTGAGAGTCTATTGACTGCGAAGGGTTAAAGGTTCAATTCAGAAACTGACGCTTTCCTATTTCTGCACAAGAAAATTAGAAAGGGTTCGAACATTTCGTTCATTTATAAGCTGGTAATAAGAGAAATGGAATTAAATAGTTTGAACAGTATAATTGTAATCTTCGTAATCCGTATTTCGATTGTTATATTGTGTTAGTTAACAGTCTAATCTACTTCATGAATGAGTAAGTGCAGATGATTGATGGAAAACATGTTGAAGCTAGAGTTAAACACGTGCAAACCCCGAGAAACCCAAAATGACAGCAAGACCAAGCTACAAGCAATAAGAATAACAAGAAAGGCAATAATGATAATCTTCCAATTCATATTTGTATCAAAAATCGTCAAACACGTGCAAACCCCGAGAAACCCAAAACGACAAGACCAAGCTACAAGCAATAAGAATAACAAGAAAGGCAATAATGGTGATCTCCGAATTGATATTCCTATCACGATCGACGAACGGAATCCACGAGCTAAGGGGACCGAATTGAATGGAATCCTCGATAGTTGAGATTATCAGGACCAGGGTGGCGAGTTCCAAAGGCGCAGTCCCCTAGTTTGCTAGCCGGTGACCCGGGAGCACAAGTTGTCCCCGAAGTTCCCTTATTGTCCCGTTGGCTGCTACAGAGCATCCGAGCTAAGCGTCGAGCAAAGTGTCGTATATATGCTCACCATTATGGAGCACCTGACAGAAGGAGATCGAAGACATCTGTACCACGCTGATCTACAAGGTGTCCACCGTTTTTGCTACCGATGGAAGCGCCAGTAAAATCGAATCCAACCACGATTATCCCTCATACTCGTATAATATAAAAGAACAAAGTGATACACAGTGATGAGAATTTTTTTTCGCGATTATAACAGAATCTATCCAGTACAAAGTTAATAGATATCCGCAAATGAATACGAATGAACAATGTAGTTAATAGTTTCAATAATTTCATCAAATATATTTTGTAACTATCATGTTACAATGACGTTAAACTTCCACGTCTGAGCGTGTAAAAGTTTAAATTAACCGATTACTTTATTTTATTCGCCACTTTGAGTGCGAAATGAAATAAATCAACAAGACGACAATATACTGATATGCTACTTCGAAGTGACATGTACCTATAGAGGGTTAAAATCTTTCGCGACCGTGATTACAGAGGGACAGGGCGGAGAAGGTTTCTATTTAGCCTCGCGTCGCGGAGGTCGCGTCGCGTGTGTAGCTTCCTGTCGGAGGCGACGGCCCTTAAGAGCATTTTTAGAGTACACTCCGGAGAGCGCATAAATAGAAAAACCGAGTTTGTAGGTGGCCAAACCTGGTCGACGTTTCTATAAAAAAAGGAAGCGTGTCCCGCCTTTCGGCCGACCACCGTCGCACACCGACACACCGCAAATTGGGAGTTCACCGGAGAACGAACTTTATTTGCCGCGGGGAAACACTGCGCCTCCTTTTCCGCTCCGTCTTCATTTACCTTGATTTTTTCGGCTGCGGTTCGGCCTTGTCTGGACGAACGAATTCCCCTATCGCGAGCCTGAGACGAAGATTAAAGGAAATTTTTGCGGGAGGAAATATTTGCTTCGAAGAAGCAGTAATATGATAACGTTTCCGTTGATTGGCTGAAATCCTGTTTCACTGTTCAATCCGGCGGTTGGATTGTGACGTGTAAATAAATGTACGTGAATTGAGAGATAGTACAGTTCAAGGGAGTGAAATTTCTGTTTGAATTTAATTCAGAAATATGAGACATTTTACCAACATTATAGTTGTAAAATCATAGTTTCTAATGTTCTAAGCTCCACTCTGTAAGACTTCTTACATTCTGAAGCAACTACTTTTCTGTAGATACTGTTTCAGTACTCACTAAAAATAATAAAAATATTCTAAATAATCTACAATTACAAAAATGTTCTGTAGAAACTGTCTCAGTACTCACTAAAAATAATAGAAATATTCTAAATAATCTACAATTACAAAAATGTTCTGTAGAAACTGTCTCAGTACTAAAAATAAAAATATTCCAAATAATTTACAATTCCAAATAACTCTATATATTCCTATATATACAAGGTGACACTATAAATATCTAACCATATACTATTCTGCTATTCCCTACTCTGCTTGTATTTAAATTCTAGCCCCTCAAATTCAATTCATTTTCATAAATTTACCGATTTAATCCTATGATTTCTTTTCGAACAAATTTACTTATGTATTCACATTTTGCGATAGCTAGTAACATTAGAAATAAGTTCTATTAAATTTTCAATACATAGCACCATAGAACAAAGTGCCGAGAAACAATTAATTCGATCCGAGGACTTGCGTATAGCTTCACGCGTTCGTTATCGTGCCACGACGCGTTGTTACGAATCCCGTAGTCCGTATTGTACCAGTCACTTTAATTCCTCGGCGTTGAGGTGGGCGTAGTGGGAGTGGTCGAATAAAGAGCGAGGAGATAATGCCGACTTCGAAATTGGATATGGCGCAACGCGCGACGCGGCACCGCACTTTCTATCGCCCCGACTGCATTTCCCTTAATTACTCGCGCGGACGGTGTACTAATTAACAGAAACGCCGTTCTCTGTTCTAGGCGAGGCGCGGACGTGAGGGCTGATCCGATGAATGGGGCTCAGCTCTGGCACAGGTACTGTCTAGAAATAATTTCGAATGGCCGCCGCGGGGATAACGATATTTAGTGGGTATCGTTTGATTCCTCGACGACCTTGACACCAATTCAACGAACGCTAATCGTTTTTCAAACGATCATATAGATTCGTAGATAATTGTAGCTTCGTAGTGAGATTCTAGAGATATAAGTAGAATTTTTGTCGAATTTGATAACTGGAGATTGAGAAGCATTAAATGAAGACGTTGGAACATTTTCGATATTTCAATGTGTAACAATTAACGAGTGGATTCTTAATTAATTCTTAGGAATAGCAATTGCGATTAATAAGCTATCGAGGCTTCTTAGATTGCACGAGTTATCAACTTCCGAGGCTTATTAAACTTCTTTTCGGCGCAGATACCGAGAAGTCTATTAACAGTAAACAAAGAGTTAATCACAGCGAATACTTGTAATATCGTGAAGTTAGCTCAAGGAGGAAGATTGACTTTGCCAAGGGTAAATTGAAGGTACCGAGAGCCACCGACGATCAATTCGAAATCTTCCGTAGATCATTCGAGAGAGCCGAAACCGAGAAGCGATCGAATCGCTTTATCATCGCGCTCCGGATAATGTGAAGTCTGCCGATAAATTTTATTGAACTCTTCGGTGGAAGGGATTCGCGGCCATCGGTGCATCGTATAAATGCATAAAACCGATCTATTTATGACTGAACCCGAAGCAAATTCCATCGGCGAGGAAAACAAAGGTCAGAATAACATTGGAATACGGTATCAGCGTGGCTGCTGCCAAGTGTAGGCGGGGTGAACTTCGATCGAACGCGTCGCGGCGGCCTTAAACTGTCCGATTATATTTTCCATCGATTTTCACGCATTCTAGTTCGTTCGGCGAAAGTGGATTCTTCTCTTCGGCGGGTTACTAAGAATTTCTGATGATCTCCCCGATCGTTGATCCCTTAACACGTTGAATGCCGAGCAAATTGAATTGCTATAGTTCTCTCAATTAAACGACGATTATTCGCAAACATTTCTATATTCTAAATAATGCTACCCATTGCGGCGACATTCAGTTTGATGAACGTACAATGATAATAATCCAATTTCGATTGATTTAATATCGTGTTTTCTCCATTTTGTGTACTTTGCTCCATGAAATCGTGCGGCGTTCAACGCGTTAACGCTAGATCCACGGACATTCGATGCGCAGTTCATTCTATTCTCGATTTTTAGTTCGAATATATCCTGACACTAACATTTGCATAAACGGGGACACGCTGACTGTCGACGTAAGGATTAATCCGAGTCGAGGCGAGGCTCGGGAAACAAATAGACTGTAACAAAAACGTCCCGTGTCCTTTATCGAACGGGAGCAGAAGCCGGAAGCAGCAAGAAACTCGATACTAAATCACAGAAGAAGCTTCGGGCGTGAAATGCCGAGCGGCTAGAGAGGGCGTGATTCGAACCTAATTCGCGATACAGCGCCGTTAATCTTTTTTCCTCGGTTTTTCGCGAGCAACGGAGTAACGGGGATACCGTTAAGTTGAATCCATTCCCGCGATCCGAGCGGGAATTTATGTGAAATTTCGATATATCCCCGGATGTCGGAGGTTTATGCAGATATTCTTTCTTATAAGATGATTCATGGAAATTGGAAACGGAGAGAAGTTTCTTTATCCTAATAAGAGTTCGACGATATTTCGAGGAACGTGGAACGAACCGTTCAGCGTATTCGATATTCCCGTGAATATGCGCGATTAGATCGGGGATTTTTCTGGATAATTGAGTCCCGCGGACTGGTCCACTGAAACTGAGATAAAAATAGCTCCCTCGCTAAAGATTCTCTAGTTCGAATAACAGAATCATACAGAACCATTCATAGAAACCATAATTCTCCTGTCAAAGCGCTACCATTTTATTGCTCCGAACCACAGTAGAAAATCTCAAAACTTCCCAAAAAACTCTCAGTCGGAAACCACAATTCGAAAACCTCCGGTTCTCCATTATCGAACTGAAGCTATTCGCGAAGAAAATTGAACTTCACTCAACTTTCCACTCAGCGGTCTGTACTCCCGCAATCCAGTTACACGACAAACCGCCGTAGAAAAATTCCACAATTCTTCCCGCCCGAACTACAATATGTTCCTCAGTGTGTATTCCCTTTGTTCCATATTAAAAGAAGGCACACATTCAGTCCACGTAACCGCGACGGTACAAATCTGCCTGATTCAAATTGAAGAATGTTCATCAGTCCCCCCGAGGAGCTAGAATAAAGAACGAGCGCCGTCTCGTCGCGATGTCTGCGGGGACACACGCGTATCCGGAAATTAGAGACCGGAAAGCTTTTTTCCATCGTCGCCGGAAGAGGGGAATCGCCGCGTGCATCGCGACGGCGGCGTTTCCATTCACGTAGTCGCGAGCTTCCGATCCCCTGTTCCTCGCCCCGCGCTCGCCGCCTCCACTCTTTCTCGATTGTGTTGGAAAATTAAAGGCGCGCGGAGAAAGAACCTCTTTACGCGCGACTTCATTCTCTTCTGCACCCTTTTCACGATGTTTGTCTTGTGTGGCGGCTTCTCCTACTCTGTTTACATAATTATCATCTGTAATTACGATACGTACGCGTAAGGAGAGTACCGTATTCTACTTAGGGATTTTGGAAATGTTCCTATGCATACTTTGCTGGTGTAAACATTAACCCTTTGCACTCCGAAGCTTTTCACTAGAAATATTTCAACATTTGATGAGATGAAGACGATATTTTGTAAAACTGACTCGACGAGAAATTCACGCGAATTGACGGACAAAGCTATTTTACGTCAATATTTCTCATATTGATGCATTATGTGAAGTATAATACTAAATATCAAACTTTATAGCTTCACTGTAGGAAATCAAGTGGTGACTGAGAGTCACAATCCGAATGCAAAGGGTTAAGGGCAAGAATTATCGATTTTGAATCGTCTAGGGATTTTCACATTCCTAAGTTTTTGTTTGAGCAGGTGTGACCCGGAATGAACATTTTGGTTTGTTGAATTCAGTCTAAGATTATCATTGCGATACGATGTTCTAGGATAAAGGATTAATCGAGACACACATAAACATCATTTCTCATTAAGACTGCGCTTTGTGCGTTTAACATCGCTACAAGCGATGCGTTTGAAGCTTGTTTTATTTTTTGAAACTCATCACTTGCCTGTGACGTCTTCATCGATGAGTCCACTGGTGAACAGTTCGCATATCACAAATTACAAAATACCTGCTCGCTCGCTTCGAAGCTTCATTCGCCAAAGGAACGATAGTAAAGCAGCGACGCAAACGACGAAATCTTCGAATGCCAGCGGGAACGCGAGAGGGTGGCGAGGGAGAGACAGAGATGCGTGGCTTATCTCGAAGTCGACGGAGCTGAAAGCGCTTCTGATGCTTTTACTCGCGCCGCTAGACAAAGTCGAGTGGTGCTACGGTTTCCCCTCGTTCCGCCGTTCCTTCGGTCCCGACTTCCGGCAGACGCGATCGGAACTCGGCGCTGAATGCGAACCTAATTGGGGCTGAAAGCCTTTAAGGCTGCGATCTCTCGTCGCAATGGCATCGGCAACGAGCATTGCGCTCGAGTCGCGTGGCTTGCCGCTTCGATTCCCGAGTCGGCTACGCGTTTCTGCTGCTTTCCGGTTCGATGTTGCTGGCTTTTGTCAGCGGCGACGGGAAGCGGAACGAAAGCATCAGATGCTCACGCAGCGATAACGTTTCGAGGACGCGTCGGTGGCTGGGGAGAGGATGCGACGACGACGCTCGGATCGTCTTTCTCTAAGGACGACGCGAGAGTATGGTTTTTAGACGAGCAGTTTTTGGTTTCGGAACTTTCAGAGCTCTAGAGTTTCGAAGTTTTAAGGAAAAACCAGTGATCCCGCAGGAGATTGATATAAGCATTGATCTTCCTCAAGATCATAAGAAGCTGTTTATACGTGGGTGGCTGGGAGAGTTCCAGGAAAGCACGAGGAGAGTCGCAAACAAGCTCTACCTAATGGTTCCATTGTTTTTCGAGCTACCTTCTTTCAACATTAGTACATTTCCAATCGTGTCCCGCGAGCACTTTCGAGCCACAAAAGTGTAAAGCTTTGCGAAAACAAAATAAATTCCGGTGTTGAAAGATCCCCGAAACGTTTGCGACCTGTGTACACAAGACGGATATCCTCCATACCACAGAATCTTGTGTTTGCTCTCAACAGCCTCAGTAGATGAAAAATTATGCAAAACAGTGGTAAATCACATCGAGATGTCCATCTCGTTTAAAAACTTCGATGAGACGAGGGATAAAGATCCACGGACGAAACGCAGTTAGAAAGATGATATACGATGCATTTCCGTATTCGAATGAAAAGACTATTGCCCGTTCCCATTAGGATAACGAAGATTTACGTTGCCCTAAAGTAATATAAAAATCCACCGTCGGATCAGTCGGAGTGCAACGCGCGGATTCATTTATTCCCGCGGATTTTACGGCGGCGCGCGGAATTTTTACCGGGCCGTGACTCATTCCGTTATATCATCGGTTTTGTCCAATTTTATACCGTGATCCCGTTTAAGCGGATTCGAAATGATTGTTCCTTTTAATCTACTTTACAACGCTCGTAAAAACGCCGGGGCGAGGGCGGTGCGCTCGAAGCGTTCCCCCGTTAAAAATAGATCGCGAGAAATTTTCATATCAAGCGGCGGGAATGATTAATGCGGCCTGGCTAAGCGTGATGTAACGGTCGAAATATTTATCGCTCGTTGCTTGTAACACGTAACCGCTTCACGCGTGACGTTTAATATTTAAAGTGGCGCCCGTGGAGCGCGTATTTTCGCAACGCGGCCTCCGGTGGCCGCCATTTTTCCGCAACGCTGCGCGAGGTCCCGCCGTTGCCGCCGTCAAAGGAACAATCGCGCCGTTTACCGAAGAAAGGAAATCGACGAGACGGATCGTGATTCGCTTTTCTCGCCGCGGAAAATAGGCGATCGACGAACGCGTCCGCGCACGGCGCGCTG